TCCCCCCAGTTAGACTATAAAGACCATGAAGGCAGAGACAAAGGAAGCCCTAGGCAAGTAGGGAACCTACAGATTTCAAATACAAGGCAGCATGGCACGGGCCTTGAGACAATCATGCACAGGGATCAAGTCCACACATGGTCGACTTAGACAGAGCTACACTGCCTCGGCAGTGACCACACACTATTAGGGCTGGGGCCGGACTTATCTTTTCCCCACTGGATACCCAGCCCCCAGTCCAGTCGGCCACATCACAGGTGCTTAATTAACTTTGGCTGCATAAAAACACCTGGATTCAAGTCCCCAAAACCGTAATTACTAGCTCTGTTACCTTGAACAAATTACTAGATTTATTTGAGCATCAGTCTCATCCGTAAAAATGAGGATTACAATATCTACCTCATATGGTAATTACAAGTTAAAAATGAAGGCATATTTAGCACATTTTCTGCTAGTACACAGTAAATGTCCCATAACCATTTGGGCTATTGCTATTATCCTACAACATTAAATACAGGTCTACAATTACTTATCCAAAACACTGACAGCCAGATGTGTTCTGGAATATAGGATTTTTCAGGTTTTATAAAGGTAAAAGAGTGTACAGTTATACAGAAATAGAAATATCCCCCTGAACAGAATCAAGGACAGCAACCCTATTAATACTTGTGCAGTGAAACATGCCATAAGCAAGTAAATAAAGACTGTAAGAAGTTGCATGTTAGTTCACTGCAGGCCAAATGGCAAGTGAAAATCACTAGGTTTTCAGAGCTTTGGAGATTTGGGAACTGCAAAAACTGTGGGACTATATTCACAGGAAGTACCTGGTCTGCACTAGGGTACCTTGTTCCCACTGAGCCCACTAAATATGTGACTGTTTGCACTGTGAGAATACGAGAGGCTGCATGGAACTGCACTGGTTGGTGGAATAAAAATTGTCAAGATTAACTGGGAGAGCTGCACAGCATAAGTCTCTCTGGATTCCCTCCAACTGCCCCAGCCCAGGCAGCCTCTCCAAGTCTCTTACCTTTCATCCCTTCTCACAGAAGAGAGGGAGGAGGGGAAAAAACAAACCTCCTGAAAGTATATGCAGGAATCTACTCCACCATCTTTCTTCAAATATTAATCAACAGGAAAAGGAGAGCAGGTCAATGAGGGCAGCCATATTCAAATTTTTTGGTTGCTATTTTTAATGTCTGAGTAATCTACAAAAGAAGGCTCATAAACAAGAGTCTCCCATCTCCTTCCATGTCTCCCGTGGTCACTGTGACAATGCAGAAAACTTACTAAATCTTTCCAGCACCAGGCTGGCTGCGGGGGTTAAAAAGCACCCTCACGGTGCAGCCCTCTGGTATTCCGGATATGTGAGGGCATTATTTCAATAACCAGTTCCTCAATCCCCAATATGACTTCTGTTGCCCAAGCAAGCCCAAAGCCAGCTCACGACAGATGATCAGTGGTAGATAGGAATGCATACTGATCCTAACGTGGGCCTGAGTGAGAGCTAAAAAGGGCAGGTTTTCCTGAAATATCACACAAGATGCCCCAAAAACAAACTGTGCTCCATTGCACCTAAAAGAATGCTCCCCCAGTACCCAAATTACACCCAAATTATAAACCCTACTCTTCTTCCACATGAATCACAAATGGTTCCCACCACTGAAATACTTACATATAGTAGGTGCTCAATGTTTTGTTCAGGAGCTAGCAAACTATGGTCTGTGGGCTAAACTGGCCCCACCTGTTTGTATAAATTAAATCTTATTAGAACACGGCCATACCCATTCATTTACGTGTTGTCTGTGGCTACTTTTGCACTCTAAAAATAGCCCAAACTAGTTGAATATTTGCAAGACGATCATATGCCCCCCCCCCCGCAAGCTTAATATATTTACCACATGGCCTTTAAGAAAGTTTGCTAACCCCCGTTCCTATAAAGGAGTATTGGCTAGGAAATTAGAGAGACCTATATTTAAACCCCAGTTCCATAATCACTAGTAGAAATGATAGAATTCTGAGTAATTTCAGTTTCCTCGTATATAAAATTAGGTACCACCCTCTACGCGGCAGGGGTGTTACAAACATTAAATGAGATAAAATAAAATCCCTAACATATAGTAAGCAAGAATTGGTAGCTACTAAACTGCAATCAGTACCAAATACAAATTTGTTTACCATGTTAAGAAATACTCAAATGTAAAGGGATTCAAGCTTCAGCACACATTTTTTTAAATAAGACATTATGTACATTAAATAATGCATTCATCTACATTCCCTGTGAAGAAAAGGAGTAACAGTACCCAAGTACTATTGCTTTAGAAGTCCAAAATTACCTCCCTTTTCTCCTCTTATCATTTTAGTCCCTTGCACTGTATAAGATTAGAACCACAAGACATGGCCCTGAAAGCAATGCCATCTGTATGAAGTCATGTAAGATATTAGAGCTTGAGGCCTCCCAAGATTACCTGGTCAATCACCTGCATTGCACAGGCAGGTCAAGTGTCTTGTCCATGATAACGTGAGAGTCAATAGCAAGCCCCAAGTTCCTGACTTTCCTACCAAGCTGTCTTTCTTAGAAATTACTTCACAAAGGTCAGTCAGCCTTAATCTTTCCACTCCTTTGTGAATACAAATGCTATTCTGAAAAAACTACCCAATCTTCAAAACCTTGGATTCTTCTAGGCAGTGTTACTACTTTCTCTCTGTCTTCCCATCGAATTCTCTGTATCTCTATTATTGCACACAGTTTGACCATTGGCTTATTTATCAATGCCCGCCCCCCACCCAGACTATGAGCCCCCCTGGCCAAGAACCAAGTCTTGGTCACAACTGCTGATGTCTGAGCGTTTATTATGTGGCAGGCATATCATAACCTTATATACACTCTCTTTTGGTGCTTAGAGTAACTCGATTATCCCAACACTACGGTGAGGAAACTGAAGCTTGGAGAGGTTAAGGAAGTTCACGCAGTACGGCTGACTCTAGAGCAGTGGTTCTCAACCTTCCTAATGCCGCGACCCCTTAATACAGTTCCTCATGTTGTGGTGACCCCCAACCATAAAATTATTTTCATTGCTACTCTATAAGTGTAATTTTGCTACTGTTATGAATCGTAATGTAAATATCTTTTTGATTTCCGATGGTCTTAGGTGACCCCTGTGAGAGGGTCGTTCGACCCCCAAAGGGGTCGCGACCCACAGGTGGAGAACCACTGCTCTAGAGGTTACTTATTTAACATCCAAGTTATCTAGGTTCCCTCCCTAACCTCCTCCTTCCTAATAGGACTCTGACATTGTTCTAGTCTTTTCCCTCCTTCCCACGGCCACATGCTTCATTCACTAGATGCTGGACCCCTTCTTAAAACAGAAGGTTAAGTGTGACAGTCGAAAGCCATCGTGGACACCTATCCATTTTCTAGTGATGCTAGGGTAGGCATGCAAAGCTATTCTGTGATGTAAAAATGTCAGCCGGAAGCTTCTGAAAAAGGTTTCCTCTCAAGTAAAGACAACAATCAGATGTTCTTCTTCCCTAGACATTGCCTTAACTATGGAGACTTCTCAAATTCTTAAAGGAAATTACTCAATCTCCTTATAGTAACTTGAAGTGAATTGTCAGTTTTCAGTTACTGTCAGCCAGGTGCATCCTAATGTGCACATAGACATAATGGTGGAGCACTGATCCAAACCCAGACAAGGTTGACTTAGCCCTCAAAAGCGTAACAACTAGACTCTATCCACTCTCATCTGTAACACTCCCATCACCCAGCACTAATGCCAAGCATACAAGAAGCACTCGTTAACTTCAGCCAAATGAATAAATAGACAATGAAATAGAATTTAAGCCCAACTTTTAAAGACAGGATAAATTTTATAAGCAGTTGTAAGTGAAATATTAGGATCCCAGGTAATACCCTTAATAAATCTAAAGCCTTCTGACTCTTAGACAAGACCAAGGTTTCATGTATAGTAAAACCATGGATTACGAGTAACTTGGTTTGCGAGTGTTCCGCAAGATGAGCTAACAGTTCTCATACATTTTAACATGGGAAACGAGCGATGTCTTGCAATACGAGTAGTTTGTTTCCGAAACGAATTATGCTCACAAACCAAGGTATTGCTGTATTTGGAAAATAGAGTCTATACTAGAGCAAACAAAGGAATCCTGTAAGCACCAGTTTTCAAGTCCAATCTCAGGAGACTGGGTCAATCAAAAAAAGCATAAAAGATTCTATTTCTTGTAAGCCCCTTTCACAATGTCTATAGCACCTATTGGAAATTCAAATGATCCAAACAAGCCACCATCTTGGGGGAGAGGGGAGGTAGAGAAGGACAGTTCTGTACTTCAAGTCCAGTTTAGGTTTTATTCATGAAAGCTCAGTCCTTGAATGGTGAACAGTCAACTGTTACAGCTGATTTGTGCCATGGGACCCCGTGTGCATCTGGCCAGGGTACACAACAGCCTTGATCTTTACAGCCTGAGTACCTCCTTCAGGCCATCACACACAGGTCACAGCAGAGTCCTTGGCAACCCCTACTATTTCTGGCCAGGTATCTGGGCCAACTTGAAAACAGTGACCTGAAGGTAAAATGCTCCACATCCTATTGCCAAATCCACCCCCCACAGAAAATCAGTGAGCACATTTCTTATTCTTGAAGGGCCCCTCACCGAGGTCTTATGACCCATTCACTATAGGACACAATATTCACTTTTAACTTGAAGGCTGTAAATGCCTGTACACTTTTCCAACACAAAAGCTTCTCTTTATCTGTTCACTTGGCTTCTCTCCAAGTGCTAAAGGTAAGGATTTTTTGATCTCCACCAAAAATCAAAGCAAACTCTACTTGTTGTACAATGAAATGTCCAAAAGCCATAACCTGATTGAGTGGAAACCAAGGAATCAAGCTGATTGCTCACAAAGGACTTTTTTTTCCTAAGGACCAATTCTGATCCACCAAGGCAGCCCAGCCATCTAGCCAAGTGCCTTCCAAAGCACAGCTTACCTTGTAATTGCTAGAGTTCACCCAAGAGGTAGCAAGTCCATCCACAAGCTTATCTAACGTAGTCTGATCATGCTCAAGGTCAGCAGACTTCTGTTTATCTGAGAAATAGTCTATAAGTTCTTGGCCAACCTGCAGTCGTTTTCCCACATCCTTCTGCAACACCTGTGCCAGGCAAGACTCCATGCGAGGCTCCATGGTGAAATTCAAATCCAGATCCAGCCAAAGCTAGAGGGCAGTCAGGGTGACACCCTCCTAGTAAACGTGCCCACGAGGTTGCCTCTTTGTTCACTGAAGGTTCCCAAGAGCCTGTGTTTCAAAACTGCAATCCAGGGAATGGCAACAATGCACCATGTGTGTCTGAAGAGCAGCTGGGAGGATATTAAAAGTCCAATTTAAATAACCAGTAGAAGATAAAGGAGTGAGTGGCAGAGCGATGTTCTACTATTGGGTCTGAAATACTTCATAATTCAGCAGTCCATTCTGAAAAGAGAAGAGAATGACAAATCAGCACAGATAACGTAATACTCAAATATTATGGAAGATTAAATCAAAGACAAAGCGGTTCACACTGCAGAATCATTTATAATCACAAGTGGGGTGAGAACGCAGAATGCTTGGCAACCACATCAGAATAACATAATTATTATTTTTATCAGAAAGAGCACTGAAGCCCAAAGCAAAGAACCAATGAGCTACATAGTTGGTGGGTTGATGTTTTTCACAATTTTCCAACTTGTAAATGTGCCAATCAAGAAAGCAACCTTCTGCTTTAGCTAGCATATTTATTTGTAGCTTCAATTTTGCTTCCCACCAAAAAACCTACCACCACTCTGTGTCTGAATCACTGTAGTTACTTACTGCCTTATTCTCAGTTTTCTAAAAAACCAAGTGCTGGATATGGGGCAGACTCCCTAGAAACACCGCTGACCAAAGTGGCCAGCCGTGTAACGTCAAAGTCGAAGGCGGCACCTCCATCCAACTTCTTGCTTACAACAGGGTGAGTGACAGCCCCCATTATTTCCTCCCCCCAACAAAGAAAAGAGAGTGACGAGGGAGAAAAGGAAATAGGCTTATCTTCTGACCAGTTATTCACACAGTGCTCTCCATTGGCAATAGCACCATTTGGGCCTCTATATTGTTATAAAATCAGCAGATCTCAAAATCATGTTTGTGGTAGGACAAAACACATGACATAGAAAAGGTACCAAATTCTTTTTATTAGACACAATGAACAAGCTGACCATTTAATCTACAGCTGCTGGAGCAACTATACACACTTATTTCTAATTTCAGTTTCTCCTCTCAATTCCTTTGATTCTAACCCAAGGAGACCCACAGGAAATCTGTCTTCAAGAGCAGCACCTCCCTAACGCTGCGCTAAATAGAAATGTTCTTCACACTAATGGTAAATCCCAACTCTCAGGGGTTCTATCAGGTAAATCTGAACTTACAAATCACATAAAATTAAAGTTCTGTGCATAGTAACTCTTCTAGTCTGAGCATAGCACTTCTTTCCCTTTCTTACATCACCCCACCCCATCTCTACTCTCAGCATAGAAAGCACAATGGTCTTTAATCGGAGATTTTGACACCAATGGAAATCATGTAAGTCAAGTCACTCAGTGAGGAAAGCCCTCCTTCAAAGCCTCTGGCACATACATGATTACCCATCTTCTGCTTTTCCGCTTCTAACGATGCAATGGGCTGAGGGCAGGTGGGAATTCAAGACCACTCACATGGCAATCCTTCCTTAAATTTAGGGAATCTGCTTTCCAGTCATTTCCACGCCCTGGAACTGGTCCCTACCTCACAAGAACGATCTTTAAGTACATAAAAAGAACTATTGCCCTTTACTCCAATTTTTAGTCCAAACAAAATATCTCCAGTTTCTTAATAGCTCATATGTTGGATGAAAGAAGTTTTCTTGTCTGTGATACAAGAAAACTGGAAAAACCAACAGAACCTTTTCTTTCTGGGCCCAGTATAATCCCAAGAAGCAGATCAATCAAGGCCCAGTTTGTATTGGATTAAAAATGCCCACAGATTCTTTACTACTCCTCCCCCACCAGCATGGAGTCTAAGTCACCTCCCACAGCGATGCCAGGATTGGCCTTGGGACCTGTTTGGGGCAGTGAGAAATCAGCAAATGCAAAGCAAGCAGAGGTTTGATTTGCAAGCACTAGAGCTTGCCTTCTTAGAATGCTACCCTGGAACTGCAGCGCTGTAAGGAAGTTGGTCTCTGCCTCCTGGAATACGACAGGCCATGTGCTCCAACCAACTGCCAGATACGAGTGAGACCAACTGGGCCCATTCAGCCATTCCAGCTGATAAAGATAAACTCGAACTTTAAGGAAACATAAGCAGTCGGGAGGGTCTATGAGAGGAGCTAGGACATTTGGAAGTTCCCAAGAGGAACCTACAGGAAGAACTCTATAGTCCTAACTTCCCTTTCCCGTCCTTACGGAGCCCTCCATCTTGGCACACAGGCCAGAATGTGCATGTGGCTTGCCATGTCTGCATGCACTGGGTTGCAACCCTTTCCTTTTTCTTTTTCCCGAATAAATCCTTTTTGGTAATAAAATATCTAATTGATATCATTTTTCAATCGACATAGTCATCATCTGACTGCATCTACGCAGATAAGTCTAAGGAGACGAGCAGAAACACCACCTAGCCAAACCACAAAATGATAACAATATTTCACTGTTGTTTTAAGCCACTAAGTTTGCGGTGGTTTGTTACACACCAATAGATAACTGATACACTCCTTCCTCCCCTGAACATCTATCTATCATTCTCAATGGAATCTCATATCCTTTACTCCTTCAAGGGGCCTAAAATAAACAGACACTGACCTACCTGAGGTGCCAGGTTCTATGCTCAAGGATTTATACATACTATCTCTAATTCTCCAACCAACTCTATAAAGTACTAACATCTCTATTCTATAGATAAAGAAAGTGAAGTAAAGTAAAGGCAAGCAGTTTTCCAAGGTTGCAAAGCCAATGAGCTTCCTTTCCCCACCTTCAACCCTTGTTATTACCAGTGTGGCCTAGTTCTGTTCTGACTCAGGGAAAGGAGGTCAGACTTCATGCTTAGCTGGGAAGCCAACAGGCAAGAGAGCACAGTCTCCATTCCAGGGACAGAAATGATCCTATTCATTCTAGTCTCTCTCCTTCAATTATATAAAAACCTCCCCTTCAATTGGAATTGTATAAGATTTCTAATAAATAAGCTTAGGGAATTATGCAATGATAAAGGCTTAGCACACTTAAAAATTGGTCACAAACTCCCATGTACGAAACACAGAGAATGAAAGACACTGGAAGACCCAGGCATTAAGCAGACTGGGTCTTCTCTTTTCTTTTTCTTCTATATTAAAAAAAAAGTAAACACTGATCCTCTCTTATACTTATTCTTACACTAAACTGGGTTTGTTGTTTTTGTGTGTGCCTTTTTTCCACGCTTTCGAGCATCTTCTCCATCTCTACTTTCACAGGTATTCAGGGAGTATCAGTCACACAGCATCAAATCCACAAGGAACAAAAGTGCCAGGCCTCCTCCCCGCTCCTGCCCCCAGCAGCCCAAGTTCCCTGCCTAAAAGCAAATAATGGCCCTAGTTTCCTATAGGTCCTTTCAGGGATATCTTCACTACCCAAGAAAATAATTATGAGTTTTCCTTTCTGAACCCCCTCCAGGAAGAATTTTTTAAACATTTACAATTAAATCATAAAAAAAGAAATCAAAAGCAAACTGACAAAATAAAGGCAAAACTTCTTATCGCACAAGAATTATATAAAGCCTTTATATTTTAAATAATGCAGAAAACTTAGAAAATAAACAGGAGAGGATTTGGAGGACTTGGAAAAAGAGGTGCAGAGGGATTTGGCGGCTGAGAGGCGGAGGAGGTAAACACCTCTTCCTTCCACCTACCTGCCCAGGCACTCTACTAGGGACAAGTGCAAAAAGGAAACTGAGGTCTGAAGTTCACCCGGAATCTGCGATCACAGCAGTTACCTATGGAAGAGCTGAACAAAAATGAGGCCTGTTATGTGGAAGGCATTATTGCAAGGCACAGGGACACAAGTTAAACAGGACTCAGCCCATGCCCACAGGGAGCTTCCGGACTAGTACAATGCCTGTTTACAATCCTGGTTGTCAGTTCTGTAATCATCATTCAAGAGATTGGTGTAACACAGAACATTACCTTATAGCAGCATTGACAGCAGAAATTACCCACAATTGAAAACTATTTCTAAGTTTTAAAAAAGTTCAACTTTCACATATTTTTCAAAATAATAAGAGAAATGTAAAAATGATATAGAAGATAGTTGAGGTTAGAATAGCCGAGCACCTCTCTCTCCTTAATTTTATCAGGCCAAATTTTCCCCTTTAGCAAAATCTCACTATGAAAGCTATAGAGCACAGTAAATATGATTGTATCTGCCACCTGGGAAAAGAGACACATTTCAGGTATTTCTGAAAAATGCCCAACCCCAAATGCCTCAAACGCAACCCCAACTGCAACAGGCCTTTCCATTCCCCAACATCACTGTCCTGCCACTATGGTAGTTGGGTTTCAGGGACCTCAACCTTTTCCTGCCACATCATCTCAGTTTACAGGGGCAAAATAATAAAAGGTCAAGACAATGGTCCTACAGCCATTCTCCTTTATAGCACCCTGGGAAGTGGAGATTAACAGAGCAACCTTTACTACCATAATGCAGAATATCAAATGGAATATTGCTGAGTCCTCTAAAATGGGGTCAGGGGGCTACTAAGAAGTGGGGTCCATGCACATCTTGCGCCTCAATTCTCAGAGCTGCTATTAAGTTGCTAAACATATTGTTAAACTCAGCTCAAGGCAGAACCAGAAACATTCTGGAACAACTACTACATGGACACATAAGGACTTCACCTCCTTCCTTGTAGTTTTCACCTCCCTCATTTGCATATTGGAACTAACCAATCCCTGTTAACCTAGCCAGCAATCCTTTATTTGCATAAAAGAATTACATTTTTGGGGTTTTGCCTTTATAAACCCTACTTTTCTTTGGTCTCTCCAGAGTGCAGTTTGGGTTGCTGCCTAAATCTGCATCTCTCAGACTGCAATCCTTTTGCGCAAATAAATGCTTTTTATTCTTTATTACAGCCTGAACCTTTTTTTGGATCACAATCAGAATAGCCCAACTCTGCTGCAGGCTAACAGGAAGATAAAAAGTACCAGCTTCAAAAAAGAATGAAACACACAATAAGACAGCCTGATGCAATGAAAAGAGCAATAAAGTTGAGAATTCTGCCCTCCAGACTTCACTCGGCCACTTCTGAGTGGCGCTCAGAAATATTGGCTCCATACATTTTAAAAAATTAAGGATGGCAAGGGCTTGCACAGGGCATTTTTTAAAAAATAGCTCCAATCTCTTATCTCCTTACTAATGACTACTTTGTGGTACTTAGGTACACAAATATACAGAAGTATT